AAAGTTATCAGAAGTTTGATTGCAATCTTATCAGCACCGAAGAAGTCACTTGTATGACATACCACCAAATAATGAAAAGGCTCCATACAGTCGAATGAGAAGGAGGAAATGTGCATTTGTAATTGAGTTTTCAAATTTAGTCAAATATTGGGGGATAAAAGCTTTCTAAATTTTATCTGAATACGGCCGACAATTATATTTGAATTTTAATGTGTCACTGGTAGGGAAAAAATCAAATAGATATTTGAAAAAGTCATGTTTGAAGTCAGAGTCTAATTTGACCAATCATACAAAAGCTTGCAGCATTTCATCGATTAAGGGGGCAAAAACTGATATTTTTGTTTACGGGGGTAAAATACCTGTTTTCAGAAATGAGAGTGCAAATTAAATTGACTACACTTGCGAAGCGAGTGTATTAGTACGAATCTTCTTTTTTGCCAACTAAAGTGGGGCACCTTTACAGCTTTTTCATAACATGTGCTTTGACATTCGAATATTAATAAGTTAACACAGTTGATGCATTTTTAATATATCAAATGAGCCGAAAAAGTGATTTGTTTCAAACAGTATCATTTTTTTTGGAGGTTTGCGCTCTGAGTCAGTGCTGTCAGAAAACTTCCATCGAAACTCAAGAGCAAGTGGTTGTTTCATTTAGTGAACAGTAACCAAGCCAACGTCGGGTTGAGTTACCTCAGCGGCTGGTTGAGTAACATAGCGTTTGTACACGATGAGTTAGCGGCTCAATTTTCCGAAATCGGAAAGTCCGATTTCAAAGTTTTTTTGAGCAAAAATGGACCAACCGAAAAACACAAAGTCATCTTTGTGGCACATATCAACGAACAACCATTATCCTTTGAAGGATGGAGTCCACAAATTGTGGAATTTTAAAAAGTTAAGAGATATGACAATATCAGAAAGGCACAAATCAATCAAACAGAACAAATGCTTCTAATGCATATAAGGAAAACTTTTGATGTACAATTGCAGTTTGGCTCGAAATTTTAGCCTAGATGGATGCCAAAAAAAAAGCATTTTGGACTCTTTCATCAAAAAAACACCGAGGAGGCAAACAAATTAAAACAAGGACCGACCAACCCCAATTTTGGAGGCTTCCTCAGCTATGTCATCTTCAGATCGAAATAATGGCATGTTAGAGCTTGTCAAAGTACAAGTATCCAGCCATGATGAAACAATCGCTTTTTGCGACAATGGATCGACCTTTTTCTATATCGTCAAAAGTTTTTCGGAGATGCTCAAACTGCAGTCACTTCCGCAGGTGAAAATGAGTGTTGCTGGGATCCATTGACCCGGAAGCATAGATTCGGATAAAGTGGCAATTCGAATCATCGCAATTGATAAACGAACTGTCATAAATGCCGTCCAGGCTTGAACGCAGCTGGGAATTGAAATTGGATCCCAGAAAATTGATTATAAATAGTTAAAAGGACGCTATTAATAGCTCTGGCCTCTTCCCGACTGTTCTTTATCAATGAACATTTTCGGTATCATCCTAGGACAAGACGTATTTAGTCGCATAAGACCATTGCAATACAAGTCTGGTGGACTTCAAGACCCGTGGGCAGCGAGATCATTGTTGGGTTAGACAACAAGTGGACCCTTACCCTAAAAATTGACTGAAGCGATTAAAGCATCTACGCATTTGGCCATCACGTCTGACCCATTGACAGAACAAGTGAAAAAATGGTGGTACATGAATTCTTAGGCCGCAAATTGCTAATTGAATAACCGCTCAGAAACCGATGAAGTGGGCGAAGGAATATTGCGAAGCTTGGAAGATTGTGGAAGATTGGAACATTCAGACCACCTTATCATGAGTAGGGCAGTTGAAGTCTCTGGAGAGAAAATTTCAACAGGGTACAGCGCTGACGACAAGATATAAGGAGACGATAGAATACGATTAAAAAGAGGATTTATACGGGAACTCAGCGCGTTGAAGAGTTACAGGACTCCCGGAATGATCCACTGTCGTACCTACTTCATCATCCGTTTTAAAGTCCCGACAAACCGGAGAAAGCTAGATGGACTTGCAATGCGGCAGCTAAGCATAGTGGCATCTGACTCAATGACACGCTAATTCCAGAGCCAGATTTGCTACAAAGGCTGCGCGGAATTATCTTTTATTTCTGGGAAAGCGAAGTTGCTATATCCGCATATATTGATGCCGTGTTCCTACAAGTTGCCGTTCCAAAACTAGAATGCAGATTCTTGCGGCATCGGAAGGAATCAGTCCTCCGACAGAATTGAGTTTTACGAATATAAGCGACATGTTTCCTGAGCAAAAAGCTCGCCAACGTGTCAATCATGCATTGCTCAGAACCGGAAAAGATCAAGCTAAATAGTCCCAGGTGCAGGAAAGGTCATCAGCATAAATTTTTTTATAGATGACTTAGTAAAGTCAGTATGTAGTGTGGAACAAGGTAAAGCAGTATGCAAGGAACTTGTTCATTGCCTCGAAAAAAAAAGGTTGCAACTAAGGAAATCGGTTAGCAGTAGCCAAGAATCGAACAAGGAGTTTCTGCGAGATCACCGATCGAAAGAAACAAGCAAGAATTTTGAACAAGAACCGAATAAATCCTCGGTACTCGGACTGAAAAGGAACGTGGAACTCGATTCCTTAGAAGTTTCACTAGGACCTCACAAAGAATTTTCTTCCGCTGCAATTTCGTGATAGGAAAATGTCGAATAGCACCCATGCGCCAACTGCCAATACCCCGTCTCGAGCTGCAGACAGCGTTATACTCGACTTGACTTTGATCACAAAAACTCAACAAGCACGATATCACTTTCGACGAAGTACATCACTGGCCTGATTCAGGTACGGTACTCCACTGGAGTCATTGAGCCTACAAAAAGCAAGTTGTCTTTGTAGCAAACAGAGTATCTGAAACATTGGAGAAGCCTACCATCGACGAATGGAACCATGTTTTGGCGTTGACAATTCAGCGGACCCTGGGAATGGAGGAATGACGATTTCGGAACTGCAGATCGGAGAACAGGGCGAGTTAAAATCGACCTGGCCTCTGCAACCTTTTAATGGGGAGTCCAAAGAACCTAGTGAAACGATCGAGCATGCTACAACTCTCGCCGCTATAGTCCTTTGGAACCACTTCAGTATCTTCTCAAATTTGGTGAATGCAGTAATGTTTTGTCTTCGTTTTGGCAGAACCTTAACCGGAGAAGAGAAATTGAGGGCAACGGAATAAGTCCTTAGATGGGCGCTACAGGAGAGTTTTCCCTAAGAATACAAATGCTTGAAGGCGTTTGAACCAATTTGACATCCTAGCATATCAACCTATGATGTCCGACCTACCTCCAAAACGAGTGTCGCCTGGGATATTCCCCTTTGCAACCAAGGGAGTTCATTATTTCGGACCAATTGAAGTGAAACCCCTGCGACGAAGTTTGAAAAGGCGGTGTTGATTATTCACTTGCATTGTTTTGCATTGTAACACGGGCTCTACATATCGAGATTGTGCATTCTCTACACACTGAGTCTCGTTTGGCGTCAGTCTCGAGATTCGTCGCCCGAGGGCAGCCTTAGGCCATCATGAGTGGCAACGGCACTAACTTCAAAGGTGCTGCGAAGGTATTAAAAAATTTATAGATAATTGGAACAAACAAGAAATTGAGGAAGATCGTATGGAAATTCAACCCCCTGCAGCACCTTTGGTGGAATCTGGGAGTGTGTAGTCAAGCTGCAAAAGAGCTTTGATTGCAGTTTTCTTATCTGGATCTTGAGTTCAACCATGTGTCAGGTCGAGCAAACGGTGAATGCAAGACCAATGACGCCATTGAGCGATTATCCAAATGATTTTGAAGCGCTTACGCGCAATCACTTTCAAATTGGTAGACCCAACATATCTCTTCCTTTTATACCTAATGCCGAGCGGTATTCCGATTTGAGAAAGGCCCTTCGAACCTCGCAAACCTATGCGGACATGATTTGGTCGCGTGAATATCTAGCGCAATGGAACACGCATTCTAAGTGAAATGTGGATGAACATAGAAATCTTCAAATGGGCGACTTAGTATGGCTTGGTGACGACTCGGTTAAAGGATGTGATTACAAGATAGCCCGAGTTCTTGAAACGTATTCCGCCAACGATAGGGTTATCGGGACAGCAACGGTCAAAATGTCAAGCGGGACTAGCAAAAGACGTCAGTTGAAACTGGTGCCATTGTTTTACTCCAAGTGTTTTCGAGAGCAAAACAGAGCCGGCAATGTTGGTGCCAGCAAAGAAACTGAAAATAAAAAATCTTTTAAAAACTTATTGATCTTTTGTGCGAAATCATGGTCAGATTTGTTAATCACTTCGATTAAATGATTTTATATTGCGCTTATTTGACTCATGTTCTTATCCCAAAAGTCCAGATGTGTTTATTTGATTATTATGTGAACAAGTTGGTAACCGTTTTTTTATATGTGAAAATAGAGAATGTTTCCTTTGCGAGCAAATTTCTTTCCCCAAAAATGTATAGAATTTAGCTCGTCCTTTTTACCCTGAATTGATGCTACATTTTTGCCTCTTTGAGCCTTTTTTTAAAGGCAGAAAAATGTTTTTTTTTTCAACATTTTGCCCATATTTGAAATGTTAAAAATGACCTAAAATCACACTAATATTAACTCTTTTCGTTAATAAACTTTGAATTCTTAAATCATAACATAAATTGAGTATTCAGCAATCGGTTGGTTCCTTTCTTGAGCCCAGATCCACGTTTTGCAGATACAGTCCTTCAAAATCTTTGTTGGGCACTTTTCTATTATTTGGGAGAAGATTGTCGAAATAATTGAACACTTGAGCGGATCAAGGCCGGCGTAACGCTCGTTTTAAAATGTTGAGAGTTTGCAGCCGTTATATGGATTTTCTGAAAAACAAGCCAAAATAGGCGTTAAGATTTCCTAAAAAAGGATTTCTTAAATAAGTACCAAAGGGGGGTAATAGGTAATTTGGTAATAGGCAGTTATTATTTTCCTTTAGATGAAAAAGTAGGAGACTTCGTGGCTCCAATGTGCGACTCGTGCGGAGGAATATTGAAGCCTAGTGTCGTGTTTTTCGGAGACAATGTGAAGAAAGCGACAGTGGAAGAAACAAAACAAAAAGTATCAGAATCAGAAGCAGTTCTCTGTGTCGGAACTTCTTTACAGGTTAAAATATTGTGCTCATGATTTTCATTCGTTCTTTTCATCATTCGCTGAACTGATGCAAGCCTCCGCTTTTTTGTGTGGAATAAGGACTTCAAATTGAAAAAGGTATAAAATGTTAATAGTACTGCTATTATTAGCAAATTAGTTTTAAAATGGATATACTACTCCAGATAACACTAGAGCGTTGGAAGATTGAGTTTTGTTTGGTATATTACAAAAGAGACTTCAATGCAGTAGCGGATTTAGGGGAGGGGGACGCGATTTATTGGGTCAAAATTTTCAAGAAGTGCCTGAAAACGCCTTTTTTATTTGCTTGCGGCGCAGAAACTTTAGTAAAAATCAAGGTCCTTATACTGATTTGAGAGAGATCCGAAACTCTATTTGGTCGACCTAAAAAAAGCCACCCTCCCATCAAGAAAATGCTAGATCCGCCCCTGCTTAATGTCCGTCTATTAAAGTCTCTGAGCGGTTTTTTTTATCAGAAGGCATATTTAACTTGGTCGTTGTTATATGATTTTTTTCTTTTTAAGAGTGGAGGAAAAAATTGGTCTTGAAGATTTTTTTCGCTTTTTTCAGGAAAAGCGGGAGCAGAAATTTACCTATTGCTCCAGTTTTCTGAAATTGGATCAAATTTATCAAAAAAAGCGTCAATTATAAATTGTTCTGGAAATTCAAAGAGCTGTAAGGCTATCTATTTTTTCGTCAAAATTTGAGATTTTTCCAAAAACAGTCAGCATTTTTTTCTGCTACTTGCGTTCATTGATTATTTTCCAACTCGGTTGGTTATCTTTTAAACTATTACACACGGGAGTCTTGTGACAGTTTGAGACAATTGTTTGCAATGCACGTCGAAATTTTCCTTGCACAGTTTCTGCTGCGTAAATTTTGCTGAAGTCAAAGTGGGGATGCAATTTAATTTTATAGCTTGCTTTTCAAAAAGCATATTCTTTATGTATAGATGTCAGATACTTGCAATTATCTGTTAAGCTGTGCGTCTAATGAGTTGAATGTATTGGATTGAATCACGGGTTCCTCGGATATTTTGACACTGAATTCAAATTGAAAATGGAACAAGACTGCTCGTAACAGGGAGAAGCCCTGAATGTTCCGACTGCCTTTTAAGGTTTATGGAGCAGTAATAACATTAAAAAATTAAATGTAATAAAATGAAATGAAAAATCTTTTTTCTAAAATTTTAAGTTTTCGTTAAAAATCATCCCCCCACACGCCATATAGAGTACAAAAGAATAGATTTCGCTTCTTGTAACAAGTCAATTATGGCAACTAAGCTTCGTTCAACCAATTTGGAACGATTTCTAAGACGGATTAAATCTCCGCTTACGCGTTAATAGCGCGAAATATATAGCGCGTTAGTTGTCACAAATTGACCAAAATGGCAATCTTTAAACCACCATAACTTTACGAAAAATGATCACAGGTGAAATATCTTTTTAAATTTAAGCTCAAGACAACAATACCTTTTGAATGATATTAAAAAAATTCCGCCAAAAATGGCTAGTTAAAAAGTCGAAATTTGTCTGAAGAAAAAAAGCCCACCCCGAGCACAAGTATTCCGTTACTTTCGTATCGAAAGTCGGAACAATAAACTATTGAAAGTACTTCTAATAAAAACCAATAGTTAAGAAGATATAAGGGGCGAGATTTTCTCAACGCGGGATGATCGTTATAAAGACTTCATCTAAGACGGATTAAATCTCCGCTTACGCGTTAATAGCGCGAAATATATAGCGCGTTAGTTGTCACAAATTGACCAAAATGGCAATCTTTAAACCCCCATAACTTTACGAAAAATGATCACAGGTGAAATATCTTTTCAAATTTAAGCTCAAGACAACAATACCTTTTGATTGATATTAAAAAATTCCGCCAAAAATGGCTAGTTAAAAAGTCGAAATTTGTCTGAAGAAAAAAAAACCCACCCCGAGCACAAATATTCCGTTACTTTCGTATCGAAAGTCGGAACAATAAACTTTTGAAAGTACTTCTAATAAAAACCAATAGTTAAGAAGATATAAGGGGCGAGATTTTCTCAACGCGGGATGATCGTCATAAAGACTTGAATGTTTTTCTAGTTGTGTATCTGTAAGCAAATTTGGTTTCTAATGCTTAATGCTATGAAGAGAAGAAATACCTAAAAGAGTAAGTAACAAATCTTTGTTTCGGTGCGACAAGTCTGGAATTTTTTAGCTGAAATAGTTTTACTTGAAATAGACGTGTTTTTTAAGTCCAAAAATTAGCATTTTGGGCTCCTAGGATTTTTGAGTCGCTTCCCATTGACTCAGGGTGACCAAATCGGTCCCCTTTGGGGGACCAGTCCCCTTTGTACCCCTTTTGGTACCCCGAGCGTTCAGTGGTCCCCTTTTCTATTTTTTTTACAGATGCTTCAAAGTTATCTTTTTCAGATCACGCAATGGGAAAATGTCGCTTCAATGACGCAATGAAAAACGACTTCACGTGGGCACTGATCCATTGATTCATTTTGATCCATTTTTTTTCTACAGTTATAGTGTTTTTCGGTTCCAATTCCTAATTTATTATTTATTGTGAATATATGAGAGGTCCCCTTTTGTCATCAGCGTATTTGGTCACCCTGCATTGACTGCTATTTCTTCTATTTATTAATCTATAAATAAATGGAAAAAGCCAATAATAAACAGCATTTGAAGTTCAAGGCTTCAGCGTGATATATATATATATATATATATATATATATATATATATATATATATATATATATATATATATATTTCAGAGTCGATAAACGTAGTGAAGACTCTTATATAGATCATAATAATTATCTTCAGTAAAGTCTTAAAATTTGTTCACGCTCAATTTTGGTTTTTCGCGGTTTGACATTTGATTTTTTTTTTAATTCAGTTCATTTCCTGTTTTAAAAGAAAGGCAAACTCCACTATCGAACAGGAAAAGTGTTAAGATAACAAAAATGCTATCGGTTTCGAGAGTGGAGTTTGTATTCAGATAGCCTCGTGGAATAAAAACTTTAGATGTTGATCCAACTTTCTCCTTTTGCTGTTTTCCTTTTCTCATTTTCCTGTGCTATTTTTATATTCTTATTCTTATTATTGTAGCATTTTGTTTTGTTCAAGACTAGCTTTGTGACATCTGATAGATCCAGTTTTTTTCAACCTTTTTTTCGACTTCGGTTTTCTTGTTTAGTTTCGATGAACGTAGCGAAGACTCTATATAGGTCTTGGTCACTTTGTTCGTGTTTTTTCGGAAAAAGTCTTAAATGTTCTTTCTAATAATTACAAGTGCATTCATACATCAGTCTATTTATGTATACGCTTAGGTATATAAGCAGCTTAACAGTAATGGACGTAGTGAGTTCTTGCTGTTTTTTTGCTAGTTTTTTTTCAGAAAAAGTTTTATATTTTTGCTCAAGCTCAAATGCACTTTTTTGCTGTTTGACTTCTGATTCTTTTAAAGTTCAGTGCATTTCCAATGTTAAAAGGAAGACAAACTCCTATATCGAAGAGCAAAAGTGTAAAGTTCCCGAAAAACGTGATCGACTTCTGATTTCGAAAATGGCAATTATTTATCCGATGTTCCAGCGAAATAAAAGTTTTACACGTTGAGCTAGTTTGCTCAAATTGGTTTTTTTTTTAAAAAAAGTGTCCATCCTAAAATGTTCTACAAATTCAATGAGCTTTAAGGCCATCTATTTTTTTTCTTCGAAATTCAAAAATTGAAGGCTCTTGAAAAAGCAAGACGATTTTTTTTTTCAGTTTCCTTGAGTTTATTACTCTTTTCCAAGTGATCCAAGTGTTAGTTGGCTAAGTTTCATTTAAGCTCATTTGGTAAAAGGTAGGGAAAATGAGCTCTCGAAATACTAAACTGGAAATGTAGCAAAAATTTAGCTGGGCCTTTTATTCCGTTCGTTTCTTTTGATTAAAGAAAGGCAAACTCCCTTATCATAATATGAAAGTCTAAAGGTGGCGAAAAACGTGATCGAATTGTAGTTTCGAAAATAATATTTAATTTCCAGATTTCTTAGTGGCATAAAAAATTTACCCGTTGATCCAGTTTTCTTAAATTGCGTTACTTTGGTTATGCTTGCGATTAGCAAGCGTTATCAAATTGGAATATAGACTTTTTTGGGTTAACATTTTGTTAAACAAAACTTTTGAATCACTAGACTTCATTCACGTGCACTCTTTCCACTCACGTGCTGTCAAGCTCAATCTCCAGCAAACCTAGATTAGAGGTATTAAGTAGGTAATAATTAGTATTCTCGAAAAAAACTATTCTCGAAAAAAAAACTTTCAAAAATTCAAACTACCCTACAGAGTTTCATGGGGACTTGAAACTTTTGAAAGTTTTTTCGAGAATAGTTTTTTTTGCTCAACTGATGTCTGCTTAAATATTGTCGGCCTTGTTTCCGCTTCTTAAGTTTTGCTCAGTTACTAATTTGAACTTCAAATGTTTTGCTATGCTTGTTTGCCTAGATATTCTGTTTGATAATGTTTCTGTTGTTTTATGAAATTGTATGGAATTGTTTTTTTTTGAGACGCTTTGAAAAGTTTTATCACTTTTTGCAAAAAAATGAACTTTTTCTCATAAGTTTTTCTATCGATTTTGAAATAAGGGTATCCTGAGAAAGACCGTCTACATTATTGTGTGACTGTATACTCCGCTGGTCCCTTTTGCTTTACACCTTAATCTACAGCCTTTGAAATCTGTGGGGGAAATATTTGACCAATATTTTTGATTTTTTGTTTTCTCAAAAACTAACCTATCAAATCTGAATTTTTTTTAATGAATAAAACGACCTGAAAAGCTTCCGTCTATTAGCGGCTTCGCCCAACTTTTTTTAAGACAAAAAGTTATAATATTTTTTTTTGAATATTTTAAGAAATTTTCACGAAAGCTAACGTCCTAAATTTGAGGTTGTTCGTTGAATTGAGATAACGGGTAGTGGGAGGCTCCCCTGCATTAGCGGTCACTGAAAGTTTTTTCGG